CCCCTCCGCGCCCCCCACCCCGCTGTCCTCCCACGGCTGCAGCAGAGTTTGAAGGGCCCAGCCCTGCCCAGCTCCGAGCAGACACACAGGCAGTGGCCAGGCCCCACGGTGCTTCTCAGTGGACAATGACGCCTCCTCCGGGAAGCCTTCCCTGCCCAGTCCCGCTGTCACGAGGAGGAAGCCTGACTGTCCTTTGGCTGCATCTCCCAACCATGGCCAAGGAGGGCTTCTCTGTGGGATGGGCCTGGGCACGCAGCCCTCTCCTGTCAGTGCCGGCCCACCCACCAACAGGCCCCCAACCCCCGGCAGCCCGGCAGAGGACCGGAGACCAGTCCGCCACCCACCAGCCGGACCAGAAATAAAGGCTCCTATGCTTCCTTCTCTGACTTCTGCATTTATTTCTCATCCAGCAGGAGCCAGGGAGGGCAGGTGGCTGAGACTGCAGCTGCAGCCTTGAAGGTGGGGAAGGGAGCACTTTCCCACCCCAGCCCTGAAAGGAGCCCTGGGGGCCCCTGACCCTTGAGAAGAAGCAGAAGCACATCCACCAGTCCAGGTGGAGGCCGGACCCAGGCGTCCTTCAGGAGCCTCCCTATCCCCCCATCCCCCCATCCCCCCCACCTCCACTCCAGCGACACAGCCTCTGAGGCCGACCCCAGGGCACACTGGGACCAGCAAGCTGAGCACAAGGCCTACCTCACCGGAGCAGCCTGATCGCTTCCCCTCCCCGCCCTGACGTGCAAGGTGCCTCCTCCTCGTTCTCAGAGGCATGGGGGAGACGCAGCCCGACTCTCCAGACCTTCCCCGGCCAGCGCAGCTCCCACGTGGGGACGGGAGCCACCATTTGCCCATTCCCGGGGGAGACAGAACCACTGGCCCTCAGCCACTGCCAGGGGAGCTGCTAGGGCCCCACACACTGCACTTCATTGCCTCCTGCGACACAGGCGGGGAGCAAAGGTGGGGCCTCTGTGCAGGCCCCTCACCCACCCCTCACACCTGCCCCTCACCCACCCCTCACACCTGCTCCTCTCCTACCCCTCACCCA